CCATCCATCCATCCATCCATCCATCCTCCCATTAGCGTTATTTTATTATCGTTTTTATCATTAACTCGGATTGCATCCATCCTTCGCCCCCAGGCACCTCCTGCAGCTCAACCAGGATGGGATTTTAGACACTTTGTGTAAAGTTGAGACAGGTGGCATGTCTCACAAAGTGGCATCATTTCAAGCCCTGGGGTGATAGCTTTCCTGGTTTTCCAGATTTACTTACATTTTGACAGATTTGCAACTCAGATCTCGTGTGCACTTTTTGAACAAATCATAAAATAACATATATGATGACATCAGGTAAAAAGATGCTGCAGCCTCAGACTTGATCTGAACAGAGCTGTATCCACAGTTTACTACAACACGCTTGTAAGATTTTAATGTGTCTGTTTTCCTGTTTGGGTTTTATGCTTATTGCCTTTAATGTATTTATATTTATTGCTCCTTCAGGTCCCCGAGGAATCCAAAGCAGAAGATCATCAAACGGGTCATTGGCCTGGAGGGAGACTTCATCAGGTAGGAAGAAGCTTCTTTTTTCTTTGCTGAAAATCCAACCGAGGCGTCGCAATTACAGCAGCAGCTACAGCGTTTCACATCAGATCTGTGCTGCGAGGGAGCGAACGTGTCGCCGCATCGTGCTGCAGTCGAGACATTCGCTTCACCAGACGAACTTCTAATCAGAGCAGCTGGCATCACCTCATGGTGAAAATAAATCACTAGCGTGTTGTCACGTGAGCACAAACTCTTCACTACATTTAGAAACAGACTTTTGTTGTCACCATATTTTTAGTCTTTATGATGACGGGACATGTCCTTCCTGCCAGTCTGAGACTCTCAGACTCTGATTATCTGCAGGTGGTCTACGCGTTGTAATTAAACGGACGTAACAATAACGTTCCTCTATTTCAATAACTCTCACCTTTAGGTGTGTCTGTCTTTATGTGGGACTGCATAACATTTTAATGTCTTATCCTTCTGTCACACACACTGAGACAGTATCCCGTATTTCGATCTGCTCTTGTTTACAAAATAGTCTAATTAAAAAAGGTATTTAATCAGAGAGTGAAACATCTTTTTGCTAATCACTTTAACTCAGTGGAAAAACAGCATGCAGTGAAGGAGCAGAAGCCGTATCTTTACTGCCAGACACCCATCTGTTAGCCCACGGACAAAGCTGCTGAGAGTGAACTGGTTTGGGGAGGAGCAGGAGTGGACGCTGGGATGTCCAGCTGTGGCGAGGCCCACACAAAGCTTAAAGATACATAGCATGCTCCTGCAAGGTAACCGCCGGAGATGGCAGGAGGCCCAGATAACAAACACAGGGCATAACCTAAAACTGGGAAGATCCACATGGGAGTCACAGGGTTGATACCTAAGGTAGACTAGGTCACTGATAGATAGAAAACAGTCCACTAACCAGTAATAAACAGGCTTCCTCTGTAGTGTCCAAGTGAAGTGTCTCTAAATGGTCCAGATAAAGGTAACAAAAACACCATGAAAGATAAAAGAATAATTATCAAAAAAAGAACAAAAACCCTTCTGACCAGCCAATGATGGCACCTCCCCTTCTCCGAAACACCATGTACCCCCCAGTGTGCCATCCCCAGAGGACCCGTCTTTTATTTCTGTTCATATTTTCATTTTCATTCATTCATTTCTTTTCTCTCTTTCCCTCCTCCTCCTTCTTCCTCTCAGTATTATTTTAGTTATTCTCAGTGTTAGTAGAAGTAGTTCAATTCAATTCAGTTTATTTACATAGCGCCAAATCACAACAACAGTCGCCTCAAGGTGCTTTATATTGTAAGGTATGAGCAGCACTTTGGCGACAGTGGGAAGGAAAAACTCCCTTTTAACAGGAAGAAACCTCCGGCAGAACCAGGCTCAGGGAGGGGCGGGGCCATCTGCTGTGATTGGTTGGGGTGAGAGAAGGAAGACAGAAGGAAGAAGCACCCTTACAAGTGCACGGTGTGAGGCTGGCCCCTAGCGTGCCTCACCTCTTGTCTTATGAGAGCTGGGATAGGCTTGGATAAGCTCTTAAGAAAGTGGAAGTAAAAGGAAAGACAACAACATGAGGGTTGGTCCTTCAAAATAAAACAGGAAGTAAATCAAAGTTGGAGAACACAGGAGGCAAAAGAATAAATAAAATCCAAGAATGTGTGTTTAACCACACAAAGGACGAGGAAAGGCCAAGGAAAATGGAAACAGAAGCGGATAACAGACAAACCATCACAAAGAGAGGTCGGCGATCCTGATCTGATCACCTTGGTGTTGGAGGAACTAACTTTTCCATCATCTGCTAACACAGCTGAAACTGTAAGACCACACTTTAAGAAAAAAGGTTTAAAATGCGTGTCGCGTGCTTCATGTGTTCCTGCCATAACATCAGAGTTGCATTCATTTCTCAGAAATTAAAAACAGCTGTGGGGAATCACAGGAGGTGGAAATTTTAATTGTTTTTGCAGTTTTCACCGACTTTTCCCTGATAACTGTTAGTTTAATGAAAAATGTAGGCAGACGCGAACTTGCCATTAATTTCATAACCGCTTCATTCTCATCTCTTTTCGTCGCCTCCAACTGAATAATGAAAACAAGCGAAATAAACGAATGTGCCAGCGTTCGTCAGATTCAGCCCAACTTAATGGGTCAGGGGTTACTGAGTGACATTTACAACAAGTGAGCGTGTCGCAATAACTCACAGAAAACATGGAAAAGTGTCTGAAAAGCTCTTATGAGTGGCATAAATCAGCACACGACTACGCCCCTTAAAACATGACTTTTTCCTGCTTTTTGTGATGATTAAAAGTGAAATAATACAGAGAGACATTTAAGCCACAAATTAAATTATTTATGTTTGCAGTCAAAGACTTCTCTTCTAATTCTGTGATGTTTTTGCACATATATTTACCTCCACAGGAACGGTTTTCTATATTTCAACATAAATCACCTCAAACTAAAAAGTTGTGAATTTCATATTGATGATAAAAGTCTTGCAAGGTGCTTTATGTAATATTTGAGACACTCCAACACGAGGAAGAACTGGGCCCGGCTCAAGCAAGGGCAGAAGGACGCGAAATAAGGAACCTCGACTGGAGTTTGGGGGGAAAGAGAGGAAGGAGGAGCATGGAGAGACCAAGATGGCAATAACATACAGTCTGTTTGTGATAGTACAGCAATTAATGGATATTGTTCACCAAAAATTGCAAGTCTGTTGCCATCTGTGGAAAATCTATTATTGTCTACATACACAGAAAGTCACAGTAAAAATTCAGAATCGAGCCAGAACATCATAGATCGTAGCTTTGAAACTCAAACTCAGAACTTCCTCCACAAATCATCATGTCGTAGCTTCAGAATCAAGATTTAACTGAAATATGATATAGATGCTCAGCAACATTGCTGTTAGATAGCAACATAACCATACCATACTGGAATACAACCAGTTGCCAATAGCTGGATCGAGTTCCTCAGACTGACTCAGATTGATTGCAACTGCTGGAAATCTGAGTTTATGAGTTAGACAGCAGTAAATTGCAATCCTTTGCCAAAACGCTACGTCCAGGTGAGCAGAATCAACTTTTGGGGGAATTTGAAGCCTAATCTTGAAAGTAGAGATAGTGTCTGTCTCCTGAATCCAAACTGGAAGCTGGTTCCACAGAAGAGGGGCCTGAAAACTGAAGGCTCTGCCTCCCATTCTACTTTTAAATACTCTAGGAACAACAAGTAGGCCTGCAGAGCGAGAGCGAAGTGCTCTAATAGGGTGATATGGTACTACAAGGTCATTTAGGTATGATCATTGAATACTGTGTGAAAAGGATTCTTGATTTCATAGGGAGCCAGTGAAGAGAAGCTAACAGCCAATCAATACTGAAAGTAACACCTGTGTGAACCAAAGACAGGCTGAAATTTAAGACATTAGACTTGCTCGTTAATTCCACTGATGCTTGATTCTTCCCCCGGTTTGCCTCATGTGTAGTTGTTAGGGGCATGAACCCTGGACTTCAGTGAGACATCTTGCCTCTGGGTCTACAGAAAACTAAATAGAGAATAGAAAAATTAAAAGGAGGAAAAAACTAGAATCAGAATCATGTGATGAATGAATCTTTGGGTTTTTTGCTATTTATAGAAAACTTGAAAGGCTTCTAACACTTTAACCTGAACATCTCGTTCTCACGTTAGAGTTTCCTTCACATTTTTAAACATCCTGAACAAGCAGAGTCTCCAATCATCACTACTGTTGATAGAAAACACCTGCTCCTCCTCCTGGTGCAGCTTTTGCTGTCAAGAACATCATCTCTGTAGTGTACGCGGGGAGTAAATCCTCTCCCATCGGCAGAGTTTTTGCTCCTCTGTCAGTCCCAGAAGACGCCAACGTCTCTGCGACGACACTTTCAGACTGACTCACAAAAGATCAGGTCCATCCTGTCGCTGTGGCGGGTGTTTGATGGACAGGAGAGGGGATAACTGTGGATGTCTGTGACATTGTTGATTCATCAACCTCGGGCTTCAGATGAAGAATCAAAGTGTTTATACATTAAAACTGATTTTTGTCAGTTGTCATCAGAACTCTTTGTCTCCCAGAAAAGCATAAAGTCCAGAGCCGGCTGCTCCTCCTTTGTCTCTTTGGTTTCATCCAGTTTGCTCCTCTCTGCCCTCCGTTACTTCCTGAAACTCTGAAAGTCTTTATAAAAATCCTCACCCATTTCAGAGTTTTCCTGACTTTGTCGGCTCTAAATCTTTTCTTCATGGAGTATTTTCCACCATTCCAGGATCTCTTCCTGTTTTGTTTTCTCCAGACTTTTTGGCCTCAGTATTTCTCTCCACCGTCTTCATTGAATATTCGCTTTCATCAGCCACCTGCCTTACATCAGCTCAATCTTCAGCCTCTGAGTTTCCAGGATATATTTTTTAATGCATGAAATTGCTTTACGTAGTGGACGTGAAGCGATACGTTCATATATTCACCAGCTTATTGTCAGACACACTTTATCTGACACCATTTGTGGAGGCCAGTTGCACCCTCTGACCACTCGTTTGACGATGGCCTGTGGTCACACAGCTGCGTGCCTCAGCTGTGTTTGAACAGCCAGGCTTGCTATTCAAAGAAGTTATCACAACCGGAAAAAACGATGCCCTGAAACTGTGAGAAAATGAACCAAGCGGATAACAAGAAAAAACCCTTCTGGCATGAGTGTTGCGTTGGTGTTAAAACGGCGGGCGCCACGGTTCGTGCAGTTTGTGGTTAAGACACCTCAGGAAGTGACGGGAACACGGGAGTTCTGACACTCGGGGACAAACTCATGGTGCACGACCCTGTGAATGTGGACTACGAGCACTCTCGCTGCCTGATACTCGGATGCTGCAGACTCTTCCACTAAGCTTGTGAGCTGCAGCTTTCATCAGCAGCGATTTAAAGGAGAACCATACCCTGATTCATCTGTGAAGGTTCTCAATCATCCAGGTGATCGAAGTCTAAGGAGCTTGGAAAGAAAAGTGTGCAGATGTGTTTCTTAACAAGC